AATCACTTTATGTCTGCGCCCTGTGTTTACCAACCCCCATCCCACTGGAGATGATTTTGTCTTATCTACTCTTGCAAAACCCTTCATAATTTTGAAAATCTCCCATTAACCTTCTTTGCTGGGAGGAGAACAAACCCAGTTTCTCCAGTCTCTTTCATTTCTCAGCTCCTTTAACCTTGGCACAATTCTCATAAAGCTCTTCTGCAGTCTTCCTAAAGCCTTGAATCCTTCCTCAAGTCTGATAACCAGAAATTATCAATCTATTTGAGGTTTACATGATGTGGAGGTGCCAGTGTTGGACTGGGGTGAACAAAGTCAGAAATCACACGACACCAGGTTATAGTTTTTCTGAAGAAGGGTCCCAACCAGAAACGTCAACTTTCCTGCTCCTCTGATGCTGCCTGGCCTGCTGTGTTCCTCCAGCTCCACGGGTGTTATCTCTGACTCCATCATCTGCAGTTCTTGCTATCTCTGACCAGGTTATAGTCCAACAGGTTTATTTAAAATCACAAACTTTCAAAGCACTGCTCCTTCGTCAGATGAAGTGCCTCTTCATCTGTCAAAGGAGCAGTGCTGTGAAAGCTTGTGCTTCCAAATAAACGTGTTGGACTATAACCTCGTGTTGGGTGACTTCTGACTCAATTGAGGTTCAGGCTGTTTCTAAAGATTTTTCATAATTTCCTTGTCGTTGTACTCTACATCCAGTTGCATTTTTCCAGTAGCAGGGCCAATATATTGATCACTGTGTCTCTTATGGACAAGTATATACATCCACATAATCCAGATTTTGACATTAATGCCTGTGTGTACATACTGATAGTTTTTTTATTCCTCTGTACACATTTGTACCAGAAAGGATCTAAGTAAACATGTCACAGTGTATTTTCCTCCTTCCACCATTTCAGGCACTATTCGAGCCAGGAAGGTGTAATTATATCGTAAGTTTACAAAAACAGTTTACACTATAACTGTAAACACAGGAATTTCGAATGGAGACGTAACATTCTGAACAGAGCATGTATGACCTTTGTAGAACTAGGTCTAGTTATCTCCCACAATACTATTAAACTACACATGCTCTTGGCTCTAATACAATTGCAGATCAACTTATCTTGCAGTCACTATTAATCATAGGATTAACACTATTTATCAATTATTCCCAAAACTGATAAGCAATCTAAATAAATTTGTTTGTACAATCTTATTAACTGATAAATTTAGATATAGTCTTTTAAACATACACCACAGTTAACACAACAAATATCACACTGAAGCCATTCCCTGCAAGACATATTAAGTCTTCGTTGTTAACTAGAGAAATCAGGGTAACACGTTACATATTATAACAAATATTATCCACGTATGCCAATTTTAACAAATTCATGCACACATTTTCAAGCAAATTTTTAACAAATCTGATAAAACTAAATAAAAATTGAAAGAACTGCAGATGCTGTAAATCAGAAACAAAAACAGAAATTGCTGGAAAAGCTCAGCAGGCCTGGCAGCATCTATGAAGAGAAATCAGAGTTAACGTTTCGGGTCGAATGTCCTTTCCTCAGAACAGGGGAGTTCTGAGGAAGGATCACTGGACCTGAAACGTTAACTGTGATTTCTCTGATACAACTAAAATGTTTAGGCACATTATCAGAGGAATACCAGGGAATATTGTTGCATCTGAAATAAATATGGTGGATCCTGTAAATTGACAGAACAGAATCCCTACAGTATGGAAGCAGGCCATTTGGCCCATCAAGTCCACACCAATCCTCTGAAGAGCTTCCCACCCTGACCACCCCCTCTACATTTCCCATGGTTAATTCACCTAGCCTGCACATCTTTGGACTGTGGGATGAAACTGAAGTACTCAGAGGAAACCCACACAGAAATTGGGAGAATGTGCAAACTCCACATAGACAGTCGCCCAAGGCTGGAATTGAACCCAAGTCCCTGTTATTCCGAGGCAGCTGTGCTGACCACTGAGCCAATATGCCACACCAATACTGACATAATAGCAGAAAATTCTGGAGATATGCATGAAAATATAGGTGTACAGTCACTATAAGAATTACTCATTGACAAGAACTTTTGCAGAACAAAACAAAAAGCTATTTTAGACCTAACATTGTGCAATGAAGCAGGATTGACTGGTAACATCATAAACAAATTCCCATGGGAAATAGTGATCATAATAAAACTGAATTCCACATTAATTTTGAAAATGACATTCTGCAATCACAAACAAGACAATTAAACTTCCTAGATATAACACAGTGTGGGGCTGGAGGAACACAGCAAGCCAGGCAGCATTTGTGGAGCAGGAAAGCTGTTTCGAGTCAGGACCCTTCTTCAGAAAACTTCCTACATAGGTACGAGAAAAGTGTTGGCTGACAATTTTATTAGATTAAGGGAGTACTTGTAGATGAAACACAGAGTTAACAAGCAGGTAAAAGATAGTAATTAGCAAAGCAAATGACATATTGACCTTTATTACAAGGCAATTGTGTAAATACACAATGTAGAGAGATCACATCTTGAATATTGTGTGCAATTTTGATCCCCATATTTAAAGAAGGACATACTCACTAGAGGTTGTATAATAGATATTCACTAGTCTGATCTTTGGGATGAGGCTGGGTGAGTTGGATCCATATTCTCTTGAGTTTAGATACATGAAAGGTGATCTGATGGAAACAGTTAAGATTATAAAGGTTCTGAGGAAGGGTCACCGGACGCGAAATGTTAACTCTGTTTTTTCCTTCACAGATGCTGCCAGACCTGCTGAGCTTTTCCAGCAACTTCTGTTATTGTTCAAGATTATAAAGGTGTTTGGGAAGATAGATATAAGATGCTGTTTCCCCTGGCTGTGAAATCTAGAACCAGGAGGCACAGATTCAGAACAAGTAGTGGATTATTTAGGACTGGGATGAGGAGAAATTTCTTCAATCAAAGAACTGTAAATCTTTGGAATTGTCCATCCCAGATGATTGTGGATCCTCCATAGTTAAATACATTTAAGGTTGCAGTGGACAGATTTTTTTTTGTTTCTCAGGGAATTAAGGGATATGGGAAGCAGGTAGGAAAATGTGATTCGGGAAGATTAATCATAATGGAATGGTGGAGCAGGTCTTCATCTGCTCTTATTTCCCATTTTCCTGACTCATTCAAGTTGACTCAGCTTCTTTCTGCATGAACGCTGCCCTGACCAACTAACTGCTTCCAGCATTAGCTGCTGATAGCTTACGTTTCCATCTGATCTGTGCTGTACCTGACTGGGCATTTTTCTCAATCGGCACTTTCCACACTCATTCCTCAACGTGATTGTTACTGGGCAGTCATTTCAGGAACCATAAATCAAGGCACTTACTTTATAGTCTGTGAAGATTGGTGTAACCTCTGTGCTGGTGTGCTCCTTTAGATCATCGAGACTCATAACTCCACCGTTCTTCTGGATGATTTTCACAATGGCTTTTGCTATCCTTCCCTCATAGAACCCTCTCTTGCCACACTGAGCCAGTTCCTTCATGAGAAGCACAACGCAAACATAGTTCAACCCTTTCTGCTACAGTAGAAGATTGTGCAAGAAAAAAACTTACTTTCCCGATTGAGTGGGAACAACATCAATCTCGCCATAATTTTGTCCAACGTCTAGAATTCTACCCAACTTCTGGCTTACAGGCCATCTACAGAAATTATGTAACAATAAACTATGGGAAAAGTGTCTAATCCTCCACAGGGTGAGTTCCTGACTTTGACCAGAAGAAGGCGGAGTAGGATTGGGCAATTTGGCCCATTAGGTCCTCTCCACTGTAGTGGTAGGATCAAAAATGATATCTTCACCACAGATCATCAAGGGTTAATCAGTAAGGGTTAAATGGAGATGACAATGAGCAACTGAAATAAAGTGGAAAAGTACATGGAAAACAGGGGCAATGCAAAATCAGCCTGTTTTGACTGAGAGGTCACCCTAAACTTTCTGTGAGAATTGGGCTGACACATGGAGCCAGCTGGAGATGCTTTACTGTATGATGGAATGTCTGGAAAAGTTCTGAAAGTATCTCAGAACGGTGATAGAGCCTGTAATCTTAGATTCAGGGTAATATACTAACAAAATGTGGATCAAAGGGCCTGATCCTGGGCTGTACTGTTCTATGAGGACTTTGTCTAATTCAGTAGACTTCACCTCGGGCTGGGGTTTGCGACTGTAAGAAGACAGTGAGACTTGTTGCCAACTCAATGCATACACTAATTGTTGGTGGACTTCATCTTGGACCGGGATCGCAAACAGTGTCAGGAACCCCGAGTTCTTTAGACCAGCCATCACACAGCCTGGTCCCCACGGGCGGTAGGATGTGAGACACATTAGTATACATCTACTGCTTTATATATTTATTATGTTTTGTTATTTATTTATGTCATTATGTTTATATATATGTTTATCTGCTGCTTAATATATGCTTACCGCTCAACATATTCATCACTGCTTTATATATATTTTACAGCCAACAAGTGTGTTAATTTAAATCACTTAACTAGTGGATTATTTTGTTACACTCCACCAAATCCACTGTCAAACCATGATATCTGCAATTCAATAAGGCCTTGGCACATCAAATTTTAACTTTGACTCCACTTTTCTACCTTGGTCCTGTAGTCGTTGACGTGCTGGTAGCCAAAAGCCTGACTATCAGCTTTGAACATATTCAATGAGCCAGGTCCCACTCTCCTCTATGCAAGGTAATTCCAAACAGTCGGCCTCCAACAGAAGAAATTGCTCCTCATCTCTGTGTTGATGAGGAGACATCTCATATTTAAACATTGCCCCTAATTGTACAGTCCCCCACAAGTGGAATCACTCTCTCAGTATCTACCCTTGCCAAGCCCACCAGAGATTTATTGATCTCTTCAATAAGATCATCTCTCATTCTTCTAAACTTCAATGAATATGGGTCCTATTCAATGTTTCCTCATAAAATAACCCCTTTGTGCCAGGAATCAATCGAGTGACCATTCTCTATATTGTTTCCAATACAAATTCCCTCCTTGTGTAAGAAGACCAAAACTTGAGATGCAGTTTCCAAAATGCCCATACAATACAGGGTGGCACGGTGGCTCAGTGGTTAGCACTGCAACCTCACAGCGCCAGGGACCTGGGTGTGATTCCAGCCATGGGTTTCCAACGGATGACCCAGTTTCCTCCCATTGTCCAAAAACGTGCAGGTTAGGTAGATTGGCTGCAGTAAATTGCCTTATAGTGTCCAGGGATGTGCAGGCTAGGTGGATTAGTCATGGAAAATGTGAGGTTACAGAGTGGGGATCTGGGTGGAATGCTCTTTGGAAGGCTGGAGCAGATTTAGTGGGCCAAATGGCCTTTTTCTACACTGCAGGGATTCTACTTTTATACTCCGTCTCCCCTGGAATAAAGGCCAATACACCACTTGCCTTCCTAATTATTTGCTGTACCTCAGGAATCAGTGAGCTGGTTGGTTGATTTGCAATAGAGTATGGGTTCAAATCCCTGTACTTGACTAACCAACAAGGTCCTGCCTTCTCAACCCTGCGCCTCACTGGAGATGTGGCGATACTCAGGTTAAACTCACCACTCGACATGATGAAGAGACACTTACAGAACTGGCTTGTACCTCTATCAAGTCCAATACCTTGGGGCGAGGGGTTTGGGTTATAAGGCAATTCATCAGACTTTATTCTTATCATGCTTTTCAAATGTGGTTTCATACAGGTGAGTGGCTTGCTTGGCCATTTGAAAGGGTTACCAACATTGCTGGGACCTGAAGACAAATGAAGTCAGACCGGGTAAGGACAACATATTGCATTCTCTGACTTCACCTGACCAAGAGGCAGTGCTCCAAAAGCTTGTGATTTCAAATAAACCTTTCAGACTATAACCTGGCATCATGTGACTTTTGATCTTGTCCGCCCCAGACCAACACAAGCACCTCCACATCACACATTCCCTACGGAATGGTAGTGAGCGAGATAGGTCTTTACAACAACATGGAATGCACTGCCAGCGGTAGTAGTACAGACAGATACATTAAGGACATTTAAGCAACTCTTGGATAGGCACATGGATGATAGTAAAATGAAGGGTGTGCAGGTTAGTTTAATCTTAGAATAAGATAATAGGTTGGCACAACATCGTGGGCCAAAGGACCTGTACTAGAACACATAACATAGAACAGTACAGCACAGTACAGGGAACTGTATGTACTGTGCTGTACTGTTCTATGTTCTAACTTGGCAGCTTCTTTGCTGATGCTGACATTCTATTTCTGATACATTTTCTGCATTTGTTATGATGCATTTTCTGCATTTGTTATAATTTGTTTTATATTGCTCTTGTGATTAACTGTCATAGGGAAGATGTTAGAAGCTGTTATTAAAGGAATATAGCAGGACACTTAGCAATGTTCAAGATAATCAGGCAGAGTCAATGTGGCTTTATGAATGGGAAATTATGTTCAACCATTTTTTGGAGTTCTTTGAATGAGCAACTGGGGGAGGCAGCAGCCTAGTGGTACTATCACTGGACTGTTAACTCAGAGACCTAGGCATGTTCTGGGTATCCTGGTTCAAATCCTGCTGAGGCAGATGGTAGAATTTGAATTCAACGAAAATCTGGAATTAAGAAGCTAATGATGACCGTGAATCCATTGTTGATTGTCAGGGAAAAACCCATCTGGTTCACTAATGTCCTTACCTGGTGTAGCCTACATGTGACTCCAGACCCACAGCAATGTGGTCAACTAAGGCCTTGGTGAGACCACTCATGGAACATTGTGTGCAGTTTTGGTCTCCTTTTCTGAGGAAGGATGCGCTCGCTCTCGAGGGAGTACAGCGAAGGTCTACCAGAGTGATTCTGGGGATGGCGGATCTGATGTATGAGGAGAGATTGACCAGGTTGGGATTATTGTCGCTGGAGTTCAGACAAATAAGGGGGAATCTCATACAGACTTATAAAATTCTAACAGGACTGGACAGGGTAAATGCAGGGAGGATGTTCCCGATGGTGGGTGTGTCCAGCATCAGGGGTCACAGTATGAGGATTCGTGGTGGACAATTTAGGACAGAGATGAGGAGACATTTCTTCACCCAAAGAGTGACGAGCCTGTGGAATTCATTATCACAGGAAGCAGTTGATGCCAAAATATTGAATGTATTCAAGAGGTGACTAGATATAGCACTTGAGGCGAATGGGATCAAAGGTTATGGGGAGAAAGCAGGATTAGGCTATTGAGTTGGATGATCAGCCATGATCGTGAAGAATGGCAGAGCGGCCTGAGGGGCCGAATGGCCTCCTCCTGCTACTATATTCTATGTTTCTTAACTACCCTCTGGGCAATTAGGGATAAGCAATAAATACTGGCCTAGCCAGTGATGCACTCCTCCCGTGAATGAATAAAATAACACTATATGCAAAGGAGAACTAGTGAATGCACTGTATTTAAATTTCCAGAGGGCACTTGATAAACTGTCACCTTAAAAGTTATTGTGGAAAATAAAAGCTCATGGTGTAGGGGGTAACATTTTGGCATGGACAAAAGACTGGCTGGCTAACAGGAATCTGAGAGTAGGCAGAAATGGGTCACTTTCTGGTTTGCAAGAGTGATGTGATGTAATGTAATGATGTGATGAGTGATGTGCCACAAGGGTCACTACTGCGGCCTCAACTCTTTACAATTTATATAAAATACTTGGATAAAAGGAACAAAAATATAGTTGCCAAATTTGCTGATGTCACAAGGATAGGGAGGAAAATAAATTGTGAAAAGGTTGTAAAAGAGTCCAAAAAACAAATACAGATAAGTAAGTGAGTGGGCCAAGATCTGGCAAATGGAATATAAAAATGGGAAGTTCAAAAATGCCCATTTTGGCAGGAAGAATAAAAAAGAAGCAGTTTATCTGAATGGTGAAGTATTGCAAGTTCTGAGATGCAGTACCATCTGTCTATCAGCCCCTTTCAGTCTGTCCTGGACTGGTGTCCCAAACAGAAATGCTAACACACAATCTTATCGCACACCCAGATATTGAAATATGTTTTCAAATATCCCTCTAATTAGCTGATACGAATATGATGCAAGAACAATGAGCTGTAATACGAAATGGAGTGCACCGACACCTTTGTGACAAGTTACAGACTGGTACTGTTACTGCATTAAGGTTAATCATTACACAAGAGACAGTAAAGTAGTATTACTTTCAGTGCCTTTGATGTAAATGATTTATAAAATTCAATATCACCACAAAAGAAAATTCCAGTAGAGTTTTAGCAGCTAAGATGTCCCCTTTCGTATCAGTAATTACTGACCATTGAAATTCTTCGGATGGTGCCTACCAACATTTCTAAGAAGCTTGCATTCCAAGTTTACTTGTTACCAAAATGACACTGAAAGGTCGAAGTATTTTTTCCTTCTTGTTATGGGATGTGGACATCTCTGGAAAAGGCATCATTTAGACCATAAGGAATAGGAACAGGAGGAGGCCCCTCAATCTTACTCC